TTCTAAAGTTTTAAAACATTTGAAATGAATCGGTTTTGTTGTAGACACTCTGTTGTTGCCCTTGAACTTTCGTTTCCTGCATATTTAACGTTGAGTTATGCTCACACGATTACAAAGTTCTACATCTTTCCTTGTTTCTTGCTCTTATTGAATCAATCTTCTTGTGTGAAGTTCCGAAAATAGTAGACAGAATCCAAGAGGGTTAAGATTGTACTTAGGCACGAATTTCAAGATTTCTACACTAGATTCAGTGAGGTTTACTGCAATCAAGATTCAGTTATATCTCTGCCAGTTTCATCTCAATATATGGACCAAAGTATATCCTTGTTTTTGTTATGCTAGGGTGCAATTTTAATTCTTAACATGTATGAATTGAAATTTGGATCACTGGGAATGTGCAGCAATCACACTACCTAGTCTAAGCATAAATACAAGGTTTTATGTAATGTGTACGTCACAGGTCCCAATTTCTAGTGCTTCTTCCGAAATTTGTTTACTGTATCGGTGGTTAGAGTCTGGTGTGAGAATTCCAACTCTTATAAAGGATTTATCTTAAATGTGCAGGCGATCTCTTACATTAGGACTTTATATGCCTTTACAAATGAAACTCTTGCAAAATATTCATATGCGACCTCCCTTCAAGCAACCCTGAGATACGGTATACTGATTAGTCTTGTGCAAGGCCTTGGACTTGGATTTACTTATGGGCTTGCTATATGCTCGTGTGCGCTGCAACTTTGGATTGGAAGATTCTTTGTTACCAGTGGAAGAGCAACTGGTGGGGAAATCATAGCAGCTCTTTTTGCAATCATTTTAAGTGGCCTGTAAGCTTCAGATTCTACTGATGTTGTCTTTATCTCATCTTCTCATTCTCTGTTACGTAGATATTCTTCTTGGTCTCTCTAATACATATGTATATGTATATATAAAATATGTCTTGATTATGCATATTTTGTTGGGCAGGGGTTTAAATCAAGCTGCTACGAACTTCTATTCATTTGATCAAGGAAGGATTGCTGCGTATAGACTTTTTGAGATGATTACTCGTTCATCCTCTGTGGCTAATGAAGAAGGAGCTGTGCTGGCTTCTGTTCAAGGAAATATTGAGTTCAGGAATGTGTATTTTAGCTATTTGTCACGACCTGAAATTCCAATCTTAAGTGGATTTTACCTCACGGTTCCTGCTAAAAAAACAGTTGCACTTGTTGGTAGAAATGGTTCTGGAAAAAGCAGCATCATTCCTCTAATGGAGCGATTTTATGATCCGACATTAGGTACTATGCCTTGAGATTTAAGATGCATCAGTCACCTGTTGATAGAGGCAATTATGAGCTGACTACATCTGTGGTTTTTGCTTAATGCAGGAGAAGTTCTTCTTGATGGAGAAAATATTAAAAATCTAAAACTGGAGTGGCTGAGAAGCCAAATAGGCCTGGTTACTCAGGAGCCTGCTCTGCTAGGCTTGAGCATAATGGAGAATATTGCATATGGTCGTGATGCTACTCTTGATCAGATAGAGGAGGCAGCTAAAATTGCGCATGCACACACATTTATCAGCTCACTTGAAAAAGGATATGAAACTCAGGTAGACAATATTTGAAAGTTTATTATGAAATCCAGTTTTCATCACTTGGTATTCAACCTTGAAGTGGGAAATGCCTTGTTTGTCTTCTAGGTCGGGAGAGCCGGTTTGGAAATGACAGAGGAGCAGAAAATAAAACTTTCTATTGCAAGAGCTGTGCTTTTGAATCCAACGATTCTTCTGCTTGATGAGGTAACTGGAGGACTAGACTTTGAAGCTGAAAGAATTGTTCAGGAAGCTCTTGATCTTCTAATGTTGGGACGGTCAACCATAATAATAGCCCGACGGTTAAGTTTGATAAAAAATGCTGACTATATTGCCGTCATGGAGGAGGGTCAGCTTGTTGAAATGGGTACACACGATGAGCTGATAACTCTTGGTGGGCTGTATGCTGAGCTGCTGAAGTGTGAAGAAGCAACGAAGCTTCCGAGAAGGTATGGTAGCTTAGAACTTTACCAGTTAGTCGTGTAGTGAAAGTTATGTGGCAGAATATATGTTTGGCCATTTGCTTAAGGAACTTGTATGTTCATACAGGATGCCAGTTAGGAACTACAAGGAGTCTGCGGTGTTTCAGGTTGAGAGGGACTCTTCAGCTGGTTGTGGCGTCCAAGAACCATCATCACCCAAAATGATCAAGTCTCCATCTCTTCAAAGAGGTAATGGCGTGTTCCGTCCCCAGGAACTGTGTTTTAATACTGAAGAATCACCTAATGATTGTAGCCCTGCACCTGAAAAAATGGGAGGAAATGGCTTGCCTCTGGATGATACTGATAAAGAGCCAACTATCAAAAGGCAAGACAGTTTCGAGATGAGGTTACCAGAACTTCCTAAAATTGACGTTAAGAGTCCACTACAGAAAACAGACGGCTCGGATCCAGAGTCCCCTGTTTCACCCCTGTTGACATCAGATCCTAAAAACGAGCGTTCTCATTCTCAGACGTTTAGCCGTCCTCATAGTTCTTCTGATGGCACTGCAGCAAATGGTAAGTTGGCTAAGGATGCTCAGCACAAGGCGTCGCCTTCGTTTTGGAGGCTAGCACAGCTTAGTTTGCCAGAGTGGCTTTATGCTGTATTGGGGAGTGTTGGTGCTGCCATCTTTGGCTCTTTCAATCCTCTTCTGGCTTATGTCATTGCGTTGGTAGTGACATCATATTATAAGAGCAAAGGAGGCCACCTGCGCGAGGAGGTTGACAAATGGTGTTTGATCATTGCCTGCATGGGGATAGTGACAGTTGTTGCCAATTTCTTGCAACACTTCTACTTTGGTATAATGGGTGAGAAAATGACTGAGAGAGTGCGGAGGATGATGTTCTCAGGTACTGGAACTTATATTCATCATAATTTACTTGACCACATTTTAACTACTTTTACTTGCCTCACTTCAGCAATTTCCCTTGTGTTACAGCGATGCTGCATAACGAAGTTGGATGGTTCGATGATGAAGAGAACAGTCCAGATACGTTATCTATGCGTTTAGCAAATGATGCTACTTTTGTCCGAGCTGCCTTCAGCAACAGGCTTTCGATATTTATTCAAGATAGTTTTGCTGTTATTGTTGCTCTTCTTATCGGTTTGCTTCTTGGTTGGCGTTTGGCCCTTGTTGCATTGGCGACTCTGCCAATACTCACTCTTTCTGCCATTGCTCAGGTTTGCATCGTTTCTTCTACAAGTTTGGTCGAACTTTATTTTCTTACACTGAAGTTTATTCAAATTTGCGATTCATTATCCCCTCTTTCAAATGTGTTTCTGATTTTGCAATACTTTCTTGTTTCGTTGTTGTTGCCATCTCACTCTCATGCACGTAGTTCAGTAAATGTTTGTTTATTCAGCCGAGACTACATTCTAATCACCCTTAAAACGAATCTGCAGAAACTGTGGCTTGCTGGATTCTCAAAAGGCATCCAGGAGATGCATAGAAAGGCATCTTTAGTCCTCGAAGACGCAGTTAGAAACATCTACACTGTTGTTGCTTTCTGCGCTGGTAACAAGGTGATGGAACTCTACAGGATGCAACTCCAGCGGATACTCAGACAGAGCTTTTTCCACGGAATGGCTATTGGTTTTGCGTTTGGCTTCTCACAGTTTCTTCTTTTCGCCTGCAATGCGCTTCTCCTATGGTGCACTGCCTTATCCGTCAACCGCGGGTATATGAAGCTATCCACAGCTATAACAGAGTACATGGTCTTCTCTTTCGCTACGTTTGCCCTCGTCGAGCCATTTGGATTAGCACCGTACATTCTCAAGCGCCGCAAGTCTCTCATTTCAGTGTTTGAAATCGTAGACAGAGTTCCTACGATTGAACCAGATGATAACTCTGCTCTCAAACCACCTAATGTCTATGGAAGCATTGAATTCAAAAACATCGACTTCTGCTACCCAACTCGACCCGAGGTTCTAGTACTGAGCAACTTCAGTCTCAAAGTCAGTGGGGGACAAACCCTAGCTGTGGTTGGCGTCTCTGGTTCCGGAAAAAGCACGATAATTTCACTGATAGAGAGATACTACGACCCAGTTGCTGGTCAAGTCCTACTTGACGGGAGAGACTTGAAGCTATATAATTTGCGATGGTTGAGAAGCCACATGGGTTTAGTTCAGCAAGAACCCATAATCTTCTCCACGACGATCAGAGAGAACATCATATACGCAAGGCATAACGCGAGTGAAGCTGAGATGAAAGAAGCAGCAAGAATCGCAAACGCGCACCATTTCATCAGCAGCTTGCCTCACGGCTACGACACGCATATCGGGATGAGAGGCGTCGAACTCACCCCGGGACAGAAACAGAGGATAGCGATAGCGCGGGTGGTGCTGAAGAACGCTCCCATCATCTTGATAGATGAAGCAAGCTCGTCCATCGAATCTGAATCAAGTCGGGTTGTGCAGGAAGCTCTCGACACGTTGATAATGGGGAACAAGACGACGGTTCTGATAGCGCATCGAGCCGCTATGATGCGACATGTGGATAACATTGTGGTTCTCAACGGAGGGAAGATAGTAGAGGAAGGTACGCATGATTCTTTAGCAGAAAAGAATGGATTGTATGTCCGTTTGATGCAACCGCATTTTGGTAAAGGTCTACGCCAACATCGGCTGATATAAGAAAAAATGCTCAAAAAAGAAAAAAACATTCAACCATGGTTAGTTCTGTAGCAAGTAGAGCTTGTAGGCGTAGATTTCCCCGGTGTTGAGAGCTGCTCATTCTTTATTGGAGACGAAGCATCAGAAGTAGGTCTTCGTTCTCCAAAGGTATATCGATTTTGTTTATTTCAGAGGCTATCTTTTTTCTTTTCATTTTTGTCGTTCCTCGTAATTTGTGTGTGCGTGTTTGTTCTCGCAAAACATGGATAATGTATGTAAAAGAGAATGTGTAAATGTATACACTTATTGTTGCACAAAAGTACACAAGATCTTGGTGTGTTCAAAGAGAAGAAAATATTGGGAGACCAGGTAATGTAGCTCCGGAGTCAAGAATGTATGTGTTCCCGGAGATGTACTGAGAAGAATCGTGAATGAGATAGCGAACGATTGAGGTAAGCCCTGGATCCGCGGTCTGTTGCTCCTTTAACGGGATGGTCCGCTCGGTTACGTTCTTGAGCCACTTTTTCTCCATGAGACTCTGTGTGATCTCTGACTTCAAAAGCCCCGGCGCGATACAGTTGACTCTGATGTTGTAAACGCCCAACTCCATAGCCATCATCCTCGTCATGGTGTCAACACCGCCTTTCGAACACGCATACGCGAGTCCACCGGGCAACATACCGCGGTGGAGACCGGCGATCGACGAGATGTTTATCACCGAGCCGCCACCGCGTTTAGCGTCACGCATTAACCTGCATACGTATTTGGAGACTAACCAAGGTCCGGTTAAGTTGGTTCTGAAGACTTTGTCCCACTCGTCTTCAGACAAATCCAAACTCGACTTGACGTTTCCTCTGATTCCAGCATTGTTGATCAACACATCGATCTTTCCAAAGATTTGCCAAGCTTCTTTAGCCGCTTTTTCAATGGTGGCTGAATCTGATGAAACGTCTAGCTCAAGAGCTGCGGCTACTTGGATCTCGGTCGAACCAAAGCTGTTGATCTCAGAGCATAGTGATTTGAGACGATCGACACGACGAGCTGCTGCGATTATCTTACAACCAGCTTTGCCCAGATCAAGACAGACCTCTCGGCCTATACCAGAAGAAGCTCCTGTCACAAGGACCACTTTGTCTTTAAGCTCACACCATGGCTCCAGTTGCTTCAACACCTGCTGCTTCTCTCCCAACAAAAAAGGAGCAAGAAAGTCAACAAATAGATCAAGAATTATCGGATTTGAAAAAGACAGAAATACATGATGAAAAAGATATAGCAAACAAAATCAAACTTAAGATAAGAGATCTCGACGAAGCATCCAAAGCTTATCTAATAAATTTGCAAGAACAAAAGGAAAGAAAGTGAAGGGGTATAATGGGAAAAGAGTGAAAAAGTAATCTCACAGTTTGATGATTGCTCATACTGTCTGTTCCTCTGTGTGTGTGTGTGGTGATGGAGAAGGAGAAGCCCCATAACACACTTTACATATAAAGGCTTCTTCTCTCTGACCAGAACGACAATTTAACGTGGCAATCAAAGTCTTAAACAGGTTTCTTGACCAAACTACGTGATTATCTTTTCTGATTTTTATTATTTATATACGTCATTTTTATTGTTTTCGAAGCGATAACTTTTTCTCTTCCAATTTTGGAAATAATAAAATCACGAGTGACGTTACAAAAACAATGCACCACGGTGTCATATTTTCAGTTTCATAATATTTTAAGAGAGGGAAAAAAAAATGCACAAATACAAAAAAAAAAACAAAATTGATCAACTGATTGGATACTTATCAAAAGTGTGGGCTCCATTATGAACTGTAGATTTACCACAAAAGTTGGAACATTTAGAACGAACTTTTAGAGTTAGTTAAATAGTCACGCTCTACAAAGATGGATCCAAAATTATCAACAGTGTTGACTGTTGGTTGAACAGTATTGAATTTTGGTTGATTGTGGATAAGAAATTTAAAACGAAACAAGAAAATAAATACCAAAACATATATAATCATCTTCCAATCCAACGATAAAAGCACAACAAAAGAGATTGATAAAAAAATCTTTTAACTTGACTACCAAAACTGAGACTATGAAAGGCAAAGAAAAACACAAGTCTGTTTTAACCTCAAAACCAAAAGGGAAGAGAAAGGATGATAAATCAGATGATTCCGATCTTGTTAGCGACATCCAAAGCATCATAATCAGGAGTCAACCTAACATACGCCTTCTTCGTTCCATCGGGCCTGCAACAACAACAACAACCATAACATTTCATCAGCTCACGTTTAGATTGTACAAACTAAACCAATGTCTCTTAGTTTTGTTTTCAAGCGTGTATGTACCTGATGAGGGTGTTGACTTTCTTGGTCTGAATGTCATACATCTTCTTGACAGCGGCTTTGATCTTCTTCTTGTCAGCACGGATGTCAACGATGAAGACTAGAGTGTTGTTGTCTTCAATCTTCTTCATGGCGGACTCGGTGGTGAGTGGGTACTTGAGGATACCGTAATGGTCCAACTTGTTCCTTGGGACTGCACTGATCCTTGGGTACTTGGGGTCTCTGGCCTTTGTCAATGTCTTTGGCCTGTGGAATGTCACCTTCGTCCTGATCTTCTTGTCTTTCTTCTTGAAGCTTTGGCCTGATTTCACTGCCTTAGCAGCTTTCAAGGCCTTTGCCTTTGGGTCTGCTTTCTTTGTGACATCAACTACAAAAACACAAACAGAGAGTTGAATCAATCTAATGCATTTTATAAGACTCATTCAAATGAAAAATAGTAACCATTTCCACTAAGATTACGGTAAGCAAATTATAGAACATGTACAAGATTTATCACATAACGATGAAATGAAAACTAATTTACTAGGCAGACTAATATGCTATAACCAATAGACAATTTGATTCTTCAATGTCTCTGTTCTATAAAGATATTGAGAGTAGAGCTATTAAACGGAGATCGGATATCGATGGATGAGACGAACCTTTAGCTGGAGCCATTACTCAAGAGAGATCCTTTACCACTAAACCTGCTAAGACACAGAGAAGCAAATCAGTTAGAAAATAGTAATCTCAATAAGCCTAGCTCAGAATTAAATCATGGAACGAGAAAATGACAGAGATTCACTAGTATCCAGAAACAATATGCAACATTCGATACCCAGAAAACGGAGAAATCAATAGAAGCTGAGCAAAAGGATATATCGAGAGAGCGAGACGAACCTGAACGGCAAAAAAGAAACCCTAGATCAGTTTGATGCGGCTGGAGGTTTTATTTATTTATTGCAGGGAGAGTGAAAATGAAGCAAAAAGGCTTTCAACCCTAGTTCGATGACGTTTGGGCCTTAAATATAGTAGTGGGCTTCATATATCAACTGATTATAAGCCTATTTTTAAACTATAGGTTAACCAAAATTCGATCATTTAGTAGTCCACATGGTACTTTTATTAGATTTGAATTTGACTTTATGGCTTTTTGACTCGTCAATGCAACATTATGTGAACGTATGTCTAATCAGCCTTGAGATTTATCATTTATGGGTTGGAAACAGTTATAGTTTACAGTTTTCTGAGATTTATGTGAACGTTACGCAACTAATAGAAGTCTAATATCTATACAGTTTATGGGTTAATTAAGATGATGAATTTGAATGAAAAACATGTTGCATGACTCGTAATAAATTTGGCTCATCTCTACCAAATCAATTCCTATAATATACATTAGAGAATATATATATTATCTTTGGAGCATTATGAAGAAGTAATACACTTATGGAGACAGAAACTGTTAAAGCTGTAGTTAACTAACTCTTCAATTAGGCTCCAATAGAAATCAAAACCTACTCAGTCAGAACTTTACTTGGAAGTCGTAAATGAAGTTTACCAACTGATAACACAACAAGAAAAGAAAAAATCTATAGTGCTGCTGAGTATATTGTAAACATTGTAAGAAGTGTCATTATCTAAAATCCTCTTAGAGCCCCCCCCCCTAACCTTACAATTTTATCAGATAAAATGCTAACAATGGCCCTTTTGGATTCAATGTGGTAGAAGAAGAAGTAGTTTGTTCCATCTGTACAAGAGAGTTGTTTCCCCCCAACATCAACTTCCATAAGCACAACAGAGAGATCCCTGCATCAAAGGCAAACCAAAAGAACATATATGGTTTATGAGAAATTTGGTTAACAGGTCACTAGTGCTACTGACCCAATAGCCGCAAAAAAAAGGCAGATATGAAGATCAAAATGGTTTTTCATTGGAATGCAATTGTTAATGAAGATAAGGTATTATCAAAGATTTTCTCACCTGAGCTGAATGAATACTCTGTCCAAGTAGAAGCTGTTGAGTTAAAGGAATCTGTAAAGGAAAAAAAAAACGAGAGTAAATGTGTCGAACTAGTGCTACAGCGCACTCAGCAGTGCAAGAAACTCTGTCTGATCCTCAGCTTCCCTAACTATCTGTGAACAAAAGGAGAACCAACTTATTAGTCACACGCCAGTATAAGAATCACAACAAACTGCACACTTAAAGCTTGTATAAAAGTAGCAGAGCAGCTCAAAATTCCAGCTATTACCTTTATAGGGGTATCTTTTGGCAAGTCCATCTGAGACAAAATGATTTCACCAATCTCTACCCAATCAAGATTCTCCACAGTGCCCGACGTTGTGTTGCTATCTAACAGAGAAGAGTTGTTATCCAAAGAGAATGACTTTCCTATCCAAATGTACAAAGTCCTACTACCGGTTTTTCCTACATCATCACTTGGCAACTGAATCCCTATAGCAGATTCCGAATCTAAGTAAGCTCTACTCAGTTCTGTAATCATCTCCATACTTGGCCACCGACATGCTAACGGCTTGCCCAAGTTGCCGCCACTTCCTGATTCGTGTTCATCACATTTACTCATTTCGTTCTGCGGCAATTCTGAATCTACAATTCTGCTAGAAGGTATTGTCTCCTTGCACTCGCTTAATGGATTGAGATCACCATTTCTAACACCCTCCAAGTTGAAGACAATGTCATTACCATCATCCGGCTGTAAAGTGAAACCCGTTGTGCCTCTACTGGAACCAGCTAAACCTGGCAGCTTCAGAGACTTTTTTAGACTGCCTCTACGCTCTGCAAGAGAAGGTGAAACCCTTCTATTTGGTGACGGTTCAGTGTAAGGCTGTGGAGAAGTTTGGGAAGGAAGTAGAGATAGGCTGGAAAACTTAGGCAATGCCAAAGGGGGTGGAATAGAAGAAGGTCTCAAAGAAGAGAGCCCAGAAGTTTGTGAAAACCCTTTTAGACTATTGCTTGAATTTGGTGGGCACACAGAATCAGGAGAAAGAAAAGGAGGCGAAGCAGACGATGATGAAGAGGTCGTTGATGAAGGTGAGCCTGACGCATGCACGATCATCATTGAGTCAGAATAGACCCTGGAAAGTGGCGCTTTGGAGGCAGAACGAAAACCTTTTTCAAACCTTGATGCAAACTTGCATTTCAGTGAGCTCCAACTGTTTTCCCTTGCAGGAAGATGAGTCTCATGTTCGTTATTGGATGATGCCAGAGTTGGCACAAAACCTCCCTGGATTGCTTTCTGGAATATCTCAAAATCCAGATTATATGCGTCGACCTTCCTTTCACCTGGTTGAATTTTAACCACCGAGTCCCCAACCATAGGCAAAATGCTTGCAAAAGCGTCCCAGTAATAAGTAGGCTCCTCGCCTTCTCTGACCACCTTAATAGGTGCTTCGACTTTCTCATATCGAGCAATCTGACAAACAGCAGCTTTCGCATCTCTTTCCATAATGGTTTCGCATTGCCTACCAACCCAAATGTAGATTGCAGAAGGTAACTGAAGGATGAACGCACCTCTAGAATCCAGAGAAGACGGGCATGGATCATTCAGCAGCTTAGGAACAAGATGCAAAGGATCATAAGGGGAGTGCGGTGACATTTTGTACATTCTCAGCAACGAAGTAGGGCTAAGCGGGAACG